CACAACATTTAGGCATTAGTTCGCAGCATAAGTCTTTACATGCAAAATGGTTGTCATAATCAAGCATATTTCTATACATTTCCATTAGACTTTTTTTCTAAATCTGTCCTGATCCCATTTCTACATTCACATTCATTTCTGTATCGCAATGACACGGTCTGTCAACAAATTACAGTACAAACACATTTAGGCTTAATAATTTGTGCACTTTTTAAATTTTAGTAAAATAAACTTGATTGACTGTTTATCCACACATGCATTTGAATTGACACAATTAAACAAGTTACCTCAACTTTTGGAAGCATGTAAAACTCAAAAAATGAAATTAGATTTGATGCTCAGTTGTAAAATCCAGCCGATGGCATCTAACTTTCTTTTTTGAACAAGCATTCACACAATTTGTCAAAGTGTCCTATCATGTATATTTATACAAAGCACTTCAGTTGTTTTCTCAACCATCTGCCGTTTTGCAAGTATTCACTCATTAAAATATGATGACAAGTTTATTATAGCGCCGTCATGATGACATCTTCAGCGTTTACGGTTCAACACAGCGCCGGCTTCTTTAATGTTGAACTTCCGGCTATTGTTTCGCAGCAGGAAAAAAAATATCACTCGTGAATTCTTGTTTGTCTTTTTTATTTGAATTATTATTTGTAGTGTCATTATTAAGTAAACATCAAGTAAACGTGCAGTATTTACAGTCGCTCTTCAACCCTATGTCTACCGCTGAAACTCGAAAAATCAGAATATGGTGCAAAAGTTCATTTATTTCAGTAATATAACTTAAAAGGTGAAACTAATATATTATATAGACTCATTACATGCAAAGTGAGATATTTCAAGCCTTTATTTGTTATAATTTTGATGATTATGGCTCTTATGAAAACCTTTTCACAATATTCTAATTTTGAATTTGGGGTTTTCATATCTGTAAGCCATAATCATTAAAATTATAACAAATAAAGGCTTGAAATATCTCACTTTGCATGTAATGAGTCTATATAATATATTAGTTTCACCTTTTAAGTTATATTACTGAAATAAATGAACTTTTGCACCATATTCTGATTTTTCGAGTTTCACCTGAATATGCCAATGTTGCATTAATACACACATATTATCATCAGGGCTTCAGACAGCAATCCGCATCCTCAAACACTCAAATTCACTGCGACATCATTATTAATAATAAAGTGATGATTATGATGGAACTATATAATGATGGGAACAGGCGTAGACAGCCTTGCAATTGAATACGGGTCAGTTTGCAGGTTATAATTTGAATAGAAGAGCTAAAGAAACGGGTTATTGTCGTGTTTTAGGTGGATTTATAGAATTATGAACTCTTTGGCTTACTTGTTTGGCACGATTTGCTGGAACAAAGATGAATTATTATTAGACATGCATGAAGATTTCACATGGATTGTGTTAAGATGCTTACTAATATTGGTGCAAATATAATCTCACCTCGCAAGGATGCTAATAAAATCAAAATAAAGTTTGTAAAAGTGTCTTACAATGCGAATCACTAAAGAAAAATATTTCCTGTGAATTTGGGATATGCATCAGTGTTATAATTCGTTTTTTATTTTCATGTTTTAATAATTTTGTTGTGCTTTTTTTTTTAGTCTATATAGTTTTTTTGGTGACACTTTATAATAAGGTTCTTTAGTTAATGTATTTACTAACATGAACTAACAATGAGCAATACATTTGTTACTGTATGTGTATTTATTAATCTTTGTTAATGTTAGTTAATAAAAATACAACTGTTCATGTTAGTTCACAGTGCATTAACTAATGTTAACAAACACAACCTTTGATTTTAATAACGTATTAGTAAATGTTGAAATTAATATTACCTAAGATTTATATATGCTTTAGAAGTATTGTTCATTCTTAGCTCATGTTAACTAATGTTAACTAATGAACCTTATTGTAAAGTGTTACCGTTTTTTTTTAGTACATTACGTTAAACTAAATCAATATGAGAAACGTTGCCTTTATTATTATTATTTTTTTTCTTCAGTTAACATTTATTAATAAGTACTGAAAACCTTTTATGGTTTGAACTATAATAACCCAGATATGCATAATCAATTTTGCATTAATTCTCAACCTATGAAACAACACAAAAAAAGTCCCATAAATATGTCAATAATAATGTAATATTTTCACGTAAAATCACCCTAGAGTGGTACAGAAACATGCATTAAATAGAAAATCAAGCACTTTGTATAGTTTGAAACTGAACGGAAGGCATTCGGCGTGAAATGAAGGATCCGACTGCATGCCAGCGGCAAACGCCCAGAACATCTAAAGGAAGCCATAACTTACACAACCAGCGGATCCAAACAGTTTTCAAAGACCTAAACGAGGTCCAGAGAGGAAAATTAATTAATTCATCTGACCGTTATGACATCAAATGCTAATAAAAAGTCAAAAGGTGAGCATTGACAGCTTAGAAGAGTCCCGGATCCGGTAGTGTGGCTTGTTTTACCTTCAGATATTTTGAGCAAAATCAAGCATCAATTACATCAAATACATCAGTTTAGATCATCATAACCCGACGTGTTTAGTCCAGTGCGTAACGAGAGCTTTAATGCACAGTGCGTCCCATAGATAATGCATTGCAGATG